GCGAAGGGTTAATGGTTCATCTTCATCCTCAGCATCCATGAAACCGTTCCTCTGGTACTAGGAATTGAGACTGATTGCCTCACCCAAATTTCCTATCATCCTGGGCATTCCTTGGTTTTCTACCCATAATCCCTCCACTGGATATCTCCGACTTCTAACAGAACAAGTAAAGATGAAATTAAACGGAATATATATCCCATCGTACGTATGACACCTCCCCCCCCTTGTATGACACCTCCCCCCCATTGTATGACACCTCCCCCCCATTGTATGACACCTCCCCCCCCTTCGTATGTCATCTCCCCCCCCCTTGTATGACACCTCCCCCCCCCTTGTATGTCATCTCCCCCCCCTTGTATGACCTCTCCCCCCCCATTGTATGACCTCTCCCCCCATTGTATGACACCTCCCCCCCCATTGTATGACACCTCCCCCCCATTGTATGACACCTCCCCCCCTTGTATGACATCTCTCCCCCCCATTGTATGACATCTCCCCCCCATTGTATGACATCTCTCCCCCATTGTACGACATCTCTCCCCCATTGTACGACATCTCCCCCCCATTGTACGTCACACCTCCCCCCCCATTGTACGTCATCTCCCCCCCATTGTACGACACATCTCCCCCCATTGTACGTCATCTCCCCCCCATTGTACGTCACCTCCCCCCCATTGTACGTCATCTCCCCCCCATTGTACGTCATCTCTCCCCCATTGTACGTCATCTCTCCCCCATTGTACGTCATCTCTCCCCCATTGTACGTCATCTCTCCCCCATTGTACGTCATCTCTCCCCCATTGTACGTCATCTCTCCCCCATTGTACGTCATCCTCCCCATTGTACGTCATCTCTCCCCCATTGTACGTCATCTCTCCCCCATTGTACGTCATCTCTCCCCATTGTACGTCATCTCCCCCATTGTACGTCATCTCTCTCCCCCATTGTACGTCATCTCTCTCCCCATTGTATGTCATCTCTCCCCCATTGTATGTCATCTCTCTCCCATTGTATGTCATCTCTCCCCCATTGTACGTCATCTCTCCCATTGTACGTCATCTCTCCCCCATTGTACGTCATCTCTCCCCCATTGTACGTCATCTCTCCCCCATTGTACGTCATCTCTCCCCCATCATCTCCCCCCCATTGTACGTCATCTCTCCCCCATTGTATGTCATCTCTCCCATTGTATGTCATCTCTCATTGTATGTCATCTCTCTCCCCCATTGTACGTCATCTCTCCCCCCATTGTATGTCATCTCCCCCATTGTACGTCATCTCTCCCCCATTGTACGTCATCTCTCCCCCATTGTACGTCATCTCTCCCCCATTGTACGTCATCTCTCCCCCATTGCCCCCCCATTGCATTTCTGTCCGATAACACACCACTTCACCCAGAAAACTGCTGCCATGACAAATGTTTCGGCATTCTCATGTTCAATTCTTTTGTTTGTATTGGTATGGCACAAAATAGTGGAAAAACAAAAAGCCAAATCTGGCATTCAACACAAAACCCCAAAAATGGACTGGACAAAATTATAGGCACCCTCAATAGAATATTTGGTGGCACACCCCTTGGAAAAATACCTGAAATCAGCCGCTTCCTGGAACCATCAATGAGTTTCTTGCACCTCTCTCCTGGAATTTTGGATCGCTCTTCTTCCTCCAACTGCTCCGGGTCTCCCAGGTTGGAAGGGTTCCTTTCTCCAACTGCTCCGGGTCTCCCAGGTTGGAAGGGTTCCTTTCCCCAACTGCTCCGGGCCCCTCAGATTGGAAGGGTTCCTTTCCCCAACTGCTCTGGGCCCCTCAGATTGGAAGGGTTCCTTTCCCCAACTGCTCTGGATCTCTCAGGTTGGAAGGGTTCCTTGCCCCAACTGCTCCAGGTCTCTCAGATTGGAAGGGTTCCTTTCCCCAACTGCTCCGGGGTCTCTCAGATTGGAAGGGTTCCTTTCCCCAACTGCTCCGGGTCTCTCAGATTGGAAGGGTCCCAACTGCTCCGGGTCTCTCAGATTGGAAGGGTTCCTTTCCCCAACTGCTGGTCTGAGATCTCTCCACAGGAGCTCTATGGGATGGAGATCTGGACTCATTCCTGGCCAGTTCAGTCCTCTCCAGCACTTTGTCTGACACCATTTCTGGGGGCTTTGTGACGTGTGCTTTGGGTCATTGTCCTGCTGGAAGACCCATGACCTCTGATGGAGACCCAACTTTCTGACACCGGGCCCTACATTGTACCCCAGAATTCTTTGGTCTTCAGATTTCATAATACAATGTACACGGCCAAGACCTCCAGTGCCTGAAGGAGCAAAGCCACCCCAAACCATCAGTGACCCCCCACCATGTGTGACTGGAGTGACTGTGACCCCCCCCCCCACCATGTGTGATTGGAGGGACTGTGACCCCCCCCCACCATGTGTGATTGGAGGGACTGTGACCCCCCCCCCCCACCATGTGTGATTGGAGGGACTGTGACCCCCCCCCCCCACCATGTGTGATTGGAGGGACTGTGACCCCCCCCCCACCATGTGTGATTGGAGGGACTGTGACCCCCCCCCCCCCCCATGTGTGATTGGAGGGACTGTGACCCCCCCCCACCATGTGTGATTGGAGGGACTGTGACCCCCCCCCACCATGTGTGATTGGAGGGACTGTGACCCCCCCCCACCATGTGTGATTGGAGGGACTGTGACCCCCCCCACCATGTGTGATTGGAGGGACTGTGACCCCCCCACCATGTGTGACTGGAGGGACTGTGACCCCCCCCACCATGTGTGACTGGAGGGACTGTGACCCCCCCCCACCATGTGTGACATGGAGGGACTGTGACCCCCCCCCACCATGTGTGACTGGAGGGACTGTGACCCCCCCCCCCCCACCATGTGTGCATGGAGGGACTGTGACCCCCCCCACCATGTGTGCATGGAGGGACTGTGACCCCCCCACCATGTGTGCACTGGAGGGACTGTGACCCCCCCCACCATGTGTGACTGGAGGGACTGTGACCCCCCCCCACCATGTGTGACTGGAGGGACTGTGACCCCCCCCCCACCATGTGTGACTGGAGGGACTGTGACCCCCCCCCCCCCCCCACCATGTGTGACTGGAGGGACTGTGACCCCCCCCCCCCCACCATGTGTGACTGGAGGGACTGCGACCCCCCCCACCATGTGTGACAGTACCTGCGGTACTTTTATCATCTTGCAGTTCATCATCAAGCGGTATCCTGGTGGACCCCATTGTTGCTGGACCCCATTGTTGGTGGACCCCATTGTTGTTGTTGCTGGACGTCATTGGTGGTGGACCCCATTTGTTGCTGGACCCCGTTGTTGCTGGATGTCATTGGTGGTGGACCCCATTGGTGGTGGTGGACGTCGTTGCTGGACCCCATTGTTGGTGGACCCCATTGTTGGTGGACCCCATTGGTGGTGGTGGACGTCGTTGCTGGACCCCATTGTTGGTGGACCCCATTGGTGGTGGTGGACGTCGTTGCTGGACCCCATTGTTGGTGGACCCCCATTGTTGGTGGTGGACGTCGTTGCTGGACCCCATTGTTGGTGGACGTCATTGGTGGTGGGCCCCATTGGTGGTGGACGTCATTGGTGGTGGGCCCCATTGGTGGTGGTGGACGTCGTTGCTGGACCCCATTGTTGGTGGACGTCATTGGTGGTGGTGGACGTCGTTGGTGGTGGACCCCATTGTTGGTGGACCCCATTGTTGCTGGGCCCCGTTGTTGCTGGACGTCATTGGTGGTGGACCCCATTGGTGGTGGTGGACGTCGCTGCTGGTGGACCCCATTGTTGGTGGACCCCACTGTTGGTGGTGGACGTCGTTGCTGGACCCCATTGTTGGTGGACGTCATTGGTGGTGGGCCCCATTGGTGGTGGACGTCGTTGCTGGACCCCATTTTTGGTGGACGTCATTGGTGGTGGACCCCATTGGTGGTGGTGGACGTCATTGCTGGACCCCATTGTTGGTGGACCTCACTGTGAGAGGAGAGGTGGGAAGCCCATGGGGGGGGGGGGGGGCTTTGTTGTCAGTCAGAGATCTGGAAGCTGTCTGGGCAGGAAGGAATGATGACCTCATCGGATGCAGCGGATTGGCCTAATCTGGGTATTTTCCAGCAGTCCTTTCGCAGTGCCCGCCCCCTCGATTGGCTGATCGTGGTTGGGGAGGAAAGCGTGCTGATTGGTTGGCGGGGAGAATTCCCGGAATGCGGATCAGACGGAGATTTCTGTTTACTTCCGGTACAGGTCAGGGGTGTTTACAGGGACCGGAAGTGACATTTTATCAACAGAGGGGGAGGCTCCGCCTCCTGGGAGTTATCAGGCCCCTCCCTCCGATCTCCTTACATTGTGCATCCCTCCTGCATATGTCAGCGATAATGGCAGAGCGGTGATCATGTGACCTGGGCGTTGCTTGAGTGCTGTGGAGGCGAGGTCTCGGAGGAACAACTATACTGTGGGGCGGGGTCTGGGATGTGTTGAGGGAGGGGCCGGGGCGGGCAGGGGAGGGGCCGGGGCGGGCAGTGGGCGGGTTCCTCCCGGCATGCAGTGCAGTTCAGTTTGTGGCGGCAGAGAGCTCCGGAGATGGTGAGCTCGGAGGGGGGGAGGGGTGTGTGGTTGCCATGGGGAACAACTGACATCCCTCCCCGGTAGCCTGAGTGTTACTATGGAGACAGATGGCAGACTCCCCCCCCCCCCGTCATACAGGGGGGAGGGGAGATGTCGGTGGCCCCTCAGTACACATTGCTGTGTAGGGGGTCGGTGGTCACCTCCATAGTCCCCCCATCTCTGTGCCCGGAGGGGGAGGGGTCCCCCTGTCTGTAGAATGCCCCCCCCCCCACATACCATCACACAGGTTCCGGGGCTGATATGATGCAGATGAGTCGTGTTCCCCCCCCCCCCCTTGTGTGATGGTATGTTCCTCATAGAGGTGGGGGGGGCGACTCTGGGGGTACACCCCCCTCCCCCACTACACCCACCTATCATCTCTTCTCTCATTAGAGGCGGAGCTTGGCTCCCAGCCAATTGGCAAAGAGGAAGCCGGACGGATCATATGAAGAGGAGGATTGGTTGGAAAATGCTGTGAGTAACCCCCAACCCCCTCCTCTCCCCCCCCCCCCCCACCCCCCTCTTCCCCCCATCCCCGTCCTCTCCCCCCCCCCCCCCCAACCCCCCAACCCCTCCCCCCTCCTCTCTCTTCTCTCCTCCATTGCATTCCCCCTCCTCCCTTCTATCCCCCTTCCCCGCTTACATCCCCCCCAACCCCTGCATCCCCCTCCTTTTCCCCCCCCCCAACCCCTGCATCCCCCTCCTCTCTCCCATGCCCCCCACACTCTCTGGGGGGGTCAGATCCCCCAATTAGGAATGTCCCCCCCAATCCTCTCATCTGCTCCCAGACATCGAAGAGAAGGAGGAGCTCCGACCCCGAGAGCCGGGAGAGTTGGATCTCACCGTTCCGGAGACCTCTGACCCCCCTCATCAACCGACCCGCCTGTCTGGACAGCCAACAGCATGTGAGTGACCACCACCCTGCACACTGCTCCTGCCATGTCGGGGGACACGGGTCATACTGGAATACACCGGCATCATACGGGGGACACTAGGGTCATACTGGGGTACACTGGGGCCATGTTGGGGTACACTGAGATCATACTTGGGCCATTTTGAGGTACACTGGGTTCATACTGGGGTACACTGGGGTCATGTTGGGGGACACTGGGGTCCACTGGGGCCATGTTGGAAGACACTGAGATCATACCGGAATACATCGGCATCATACTGGGGGACACTGGGGTCATGTTGGGGGACACTGGGGCCATGTTGGCGGACATGGGGTCATACTGGAATTCACCGGCATCATACAAGGGGACACTGGAGCCATGTTGGAGGACACTGAGATCATACCGGAATACATCGGCATCATGTTGGGGGACACTGGGGTCATGTTGGGGGACACTAGGGTCATGTTGGGGGACACTGGGGTCATACTGGAATACACCAGCCTCATGCTGGGGGACACTGGGGCCATATTGGAGGTTCCGGAATCATACTGGAGTACACCAGCGTCATACTGGGGGACACTGGGGCCATGTTTGGGGACACTGGGGTCATACTGGGGCCATGTCGGGGGACACAGGGGTCATACTGGGGTCACGACTGTGTACACTGGGCTCATGGTGAGGTACAGTGGAGTCATGCCGGGGGACACTGGGGCCATGCTGGTGTACACTGGGATCATGTCTGGGTGGACAATGGTGTCATGTTGGGGGACACTGTGGTCATACTGGGATACACCAGGGCCATGTCGGGGGGGACACTGTGGTCATACTGTGATACGCTGGGGCCATGTCGGGGGACATTGTGGCCATGTCGGGGGACACTGTGGCCATGTCGGGGGACACTGGAGTCATACTGTGTTCGGGGGACCATACTGTCGGGGGGGACACTGTGGCATACATACGTCTGGGGCCATGTCGGGGGACACTGTCGACATTGTGGCCATACTGGGACATTGTGGCCATACACTGGGGTCATGTCGGGGGACACTGGAGTCATACTGGGATACACCGGGGTCAGTTCGGGGGACACTGGAGTCATACTGGGATACACCGGGGCCATGTCGGGGGACACTGTGGTCATACTGGGATACACCGGGGCCATGTCGGGGGGACACTGGAGCCATGTCAGGGTACTCTGGACTCATATTGGGGTACTCTGGTGTCACTGATCATGTCCTTCCTTGCAGGAGGCCTTCATCCGGAGTATCCTCTCCAGACCCTTCAAGGTTCCCATCCCCAACTACAAAGGTGAGTGACACCCAGTGACACCCTCCATGGAGAATAACGGACACCCTATTATGGGCGGAGGGATTGGAGGTCTCGGGCTTGGAACATGATGTCTTCTGTAGAGGAAACTGGACAGTGAGTACAGAGGATTCCTCCGAAAGTCATAGAACCAAAATTTTATTGGGTGTCAGGAAATGTAAAGGAAGTAATGTGTGGGGCCCCTAGAGGTGTCCCTGGGATGACCCACACCAGAGTACAGCCACCAGTAGGGGGCCCCCAGAGAGAGGAGAGTGTAGTGTGGTGATAGAACAGGCCAGTCAGGACTGACAGCCAGGAAAATGTCATTTTTGTGTGATTCTTCATATGGAGCCGTGCCTTGATCTCACACCTTTTATCTTTCTCCTGCAGGGGGTCTGGGGCCCCGGGCCCTGGGCATAAAGAAGTCTGGAGTACGGAGAGCTCTCCATGATCCCTATGAGGACGGGGCTCTGGTCCTCTATGAGCCGCCCACCCTGAGTGCACATGACCAGCTGAAAGTAGATAAGTGAGTCCCGAGATGGCCCCTCCGTGATTGGTATCTCCAGGGTCCGCTAAGGGGCCCAACCACACCTCTCTGTACTGTATGGCCAGCAGTGCAGAGGGAGGCCGCCGGGCTAATGACAAGGGGGAGGAGCTTGCTGGCTTTTCACTTAGAAGGAGCTTGCCGGGTCTGCTCCCCTTCTGGAGGAGGAGCTTGCCGGGTCTGCTCCCCTTCTGGAGGAGGAGCTTGCCGGGTCTGCTCCCCTTCTGGAGGAGGAGCTTGCTGGGTCTGCTCCCCTTCTGGAGGAGGAGCTTGCTGGGTCTGCTCCCCTTCTGGAGGAGGAGCTTGCTGGGTCTGCTCCCCTTCTGGAGGAGGAGCTGAGGTGGGGGGGCGGAGTCACTATATGCCGAGTACTGTCACCATCGCTGTGTTTATTTGCAGAGAGAAGGTTCCGATTCACGTTGTGGTGGATCCTTTGCTGGGAAAGATCCTTCGTCCTCATCAGAGAGAGGTGACCCCACCACTGAATTCTGCTGATTTCCTGTCTCTGAACCTCCAGCAGAGTCTAATGCTTCTCTTCATCTTCAGGGAGTGAAGTTCTTGTGGGACTGTGTGACGGGAAGGCGCATTCCTGGGAGCCACGGGGCCATCATGGCGGATGAGATGGGACTGGGGAAGACCCTCCAATGTATCGCCCTGATGTGGACTCTCCTAAGGCAGAGCCCCGACTTCAAGCCTGAGATAGACAAGGCGGTGGTGGTGTGCCCATCCAGCCTGGTGAGGAACTGGTACAATGAAGTGGGCAAATGGCTGGAGAGCCGAATCCAACCCCTGGCCATCGATGGCGGCTCCAAGGAGGAGATTGACCGCAAGCTTGGTAAGAGGGAGGGCGGAGCTGAGCAATATATGGGGGCCCCTCTACCACCAATCAGATCTATCCTGAGTATATCAAGGTGGAGTACTGACCCTCCCAATCTGCTTCTCTAGGGAGGGTAGTGACCCCTATAATGGATGTTGGGTGGAGCAGTGACCCCCTATAATGGATGTTGCTGGGTGGAGCAGTGACCCCCTATAATGGATGTTGGGTGGAGCAGTGAGCCCTATAATGGATGTTGGGTGGGGCAGTGTATCACGTACCTGGTGATGGAGGCCAATGGAGAGAGGGCTTCCCTTGCGTCTAAGTTCCGGACTCCCCTGAGAGTGGGACAGCAGGAGTCAGGCCCAAAGTTGCACAGGTCGCCTGTAGGAGTGCTGGTTGGTGGTCCACTCAGGAGCACCGCTGGTGCACAGGGATAGGTCTGCAGACAGGAGGCGCCTGTGCGAGGTATGCAAGCCTTCCGGGATTTGGATGTTATACTGGGAAGTCAGTTTGAGCCAAGGTCAGGTACCGGGTGGGAGTCAGAGCAGACGTGGTCAGGAGGGATAGCCGAGGTCAGGTACCGGGTGGGAGTCAGAGCAGACATGGTCAGGAGGGATAGCCGAGGTCAGGTACCGGGTGGGAATCAGAGCAGACGTGGTCAGGTGGGATAGCCGAGGTCAGAACAGACGTGGTCAGGTGGGATAGCCGAGGTCAGAACAGACGTGGTCAGGTGGGATAGCCGAGGTCAGAACAGACGTGGTCAGGTGGGATAGCCGAGGTCAGAACAGACGTGGTCAGGTGGGATAGCCGAGGTCAGAACAGACGTGGTCAGGTGGGATAGCCGAGGTCAGAACAGACGTGGTCAGGTGGGATAGCCGAGGTCATACACAGAGGAGAGAGTATCCATAAGCCAAGCCGAGGTCAGATCAGGGGGTCAGTAGAGCAGACAAGTCCAAGTACAAGCCGAGTCAGAATCAGGAAGGAACAGGGCACGGAGAGCTAGAGATCATCCAGCAACCAGAGGAAGTGATGAACCTCCTTATAAAGGCCGTCTAGCACCAGACTGAGGCTGAGGTGTCCTTCTGCGGCCATGTAGAGTATTGGCAGAAATGCCAGAACTTCTGCTGTGGACAGGACCCTGACAGTGCCCCCCCCCCTAAAGGGCAGCCTCCAGATGGGCCATCTTTTCAGGATACTTGGAATGAAACTCTAGGAGAGGCCTGGGGGCATGTATATTCCCTTTTGGTTCCTGGGAACTTTCTTCAGGTGGGTACCCCTTCCATCTGACCAGGTACTGGATTTGTCTTCCCCGCCTTCTGCAGTCCAGAATTGCTTCAACCTCTTATTCTGTCTCCTCCCCAACTGTTATTGGCGGAGGAGGTGGTTCTACTCACCCTGGAAAAGGATCAGGAACAGCTGGCTTGAGTAGGGAGACATGGAAAACTGGGTGGATCTTGTATGATTCCGGAAGAGACCGCTCAAATGCCACAGGATTTATTTCCCTTTTGATCTGGAAAGGGCCAATGTACCTTGGATCCAACTTGCGTGACGGGCACGGAAGTTTTAGATTGGCAGTTCTTAGCCAAACTTTGTCTCCACTCTTCAGAGGAGGGTTTCCTCTCCGTTTCCTGTCGTAGTGTTTCTTATATTCAGCCTGGGATTTCAGTATAGACTCTCGGAGGACGTTACAGTTCTGTAGCATGGAGAGTCTGTCCTCTACTGCGGGTACCGAAGCTTCGGGAATGGTGTCAGGTATGGAGAAAGGGTGGAATCCATAATTGGCCCAAAATGACGACTGGTTTGTAGCAGAATGGACTGAGTTGTAGGCAAATTCTGCCAATGGGAGTAGGGATGCCCAATCATCCTGAGAAAAGGCAGAGAAGCACCGTAAATATTGCTCCAAAGTCTGGTTCGTTCGCTCCGTTTGCCCGTTACTCTGGGGATGTTAGGCGGACAATAAGCAGAGTTCCACCTTCAGGGCTTTGCAGAGGGCTCTCCTGAACCTGGACGTAAACTGCACCCCTCGGTCTGAGACAATATTACTTGGCAGACCATGTAACCTGACAATCTCTTTGATGAAGATTAGTGCAGTCTCTGGTGTGGATGGTGTACCCACCATTGGTAAAAAGTGGGCCATCTTGGATAGCCGATCCACTACTACTAGAATGGTAGTAAACCCCTCAGAGGGCGGCAAATCCACAATGCAGTCCATTGCGACCATCTCCCAGGGTCGATCAGGAATGGGCAGGGGCCTCCGCAACCCCCAGGCCTTGGCTTTGTTTCCTTTGTTCCGCAGACACACTGTGCATGACTTCACATAAGCTCTACAGTCATGATTCAGGTTAGGCCACCAGAAGGATCGCTGGATTAGTTCCATTGTTTTCCGGGCTCCAAAGTGTCCAGCCAGTTGATGGTCATGAAGAGCCCTTAACACTTGAGACCTCACTTCTTGGGGTACAAAGATTTTTCCCTTGTGCCACAGAAAACCATCCTGCCTTCTAAGCGGATTTTGTTTAGGTTCAGGGCATAGTGCAGAGGCTTGCTTGATCAAAGACTTTAGGCTGGGTTGGAAAAGCAAGAAATTTTGGGCCGACAAAATGGTGTTGGGGGGAAAAGGCTCCTCTGGGCTCCTCTGGGTCCGGGAACATGCAGGAAAGGGCATCTGCCTTCCCGTTCTTGGATCCTGGGCGGTAGGTTATGTGGAAGTTAAACCTGGAGATGTATAAAGCCCATCTAGCCTGTGGAGGTCTTGAGCGCTTGGCGGACCTTAGATACTCCAGATTTTTGTGATCCGTGAAAATCATAATTGGGTGGCCGGCTCCTTCAAAGAGATACCTCCATTTCTCAAAGGCTATTTTAATTGCCAACAGTTCCCTGTCACCCACATCATAGTTCCTCTTGGCTTGGCTCAGTTTTCTGGAACAAAAGGCTATTGGGTGAAGCAGAGCCTTTGGGCCCTGGCGTTGGGAGAGTACGGCTCCTGTAGCAACTTCAGATGCGTCTACCTCCAGGATGAAGGGGAGTGTTGGATCTGGATGCTGTAACACAGGAGCGGAGGTGATTAAGTCTTTTAATTGCTCGAACGCTCTTTGAGCTTCCTGGCTCCAGCAAAATCGTGTATGCTGGCGGGTGAGTTGAGTGATTGGGGCAATGATGGTGGAAAAGCTCTTAATAAATTTCCGGTAGAAGTTAGCAAAACCCACGAATCTTTGGACTCCTTTCCTGTCTGCAGGTGCAGGCCAATCCAGGATAGCAGATACTTTCTGAGGGTCCATGGAGATTCCCTCGGTGGAAATTATGAGCCCTAGGAACTGGATGGACTGCTTCTCAAACTCGCACTTCTCCGCCTTGGCGTACAAGCCATGCATCCTTGGAGTGTTTAGCACCTTCCTAACGTGATCCCGATGGAGTTCCAGTAAAGTAGAGAAGATTAGGATATCGTCCAGGTAGACAATCACAAAAAGGTCAAGGTATTCTCTAAAGATGTTGTTCACAAAATGTTGGAATGTAGCAGGGGCATTACACAGCCCAAATGGCATCACTAAATATTCAAAATGTCCAAAGCGTGTTCTGAAGGTGGTCTTCCACTCATCGCCCTCTCTTATGCGGACTAAATTGTAGGCCC